GATACTATAAATAGCCACGGCACGTGCAATTCTCTACAAATCTATAAACTATTACAGCCGTAAAAAATTTATTGTTGACGATTTTGAATAGCAGTAAAATTAAGCTTCTTGGTTATTACAGCAGATTTAGAAATTACGTTCGTTTCATTTTTTAAATCGCTTTATCATTAACTGTACCGTTAAGAGCGGCATCTTTTGGTTTAGTACAAATAATATCTCTGAATCACTCGGGTTAGACAGGAACATGATACTAGCAGTAGTTTCATTTTACTTTTACAAGCTTCTTAAAACGATTGTTGAGCTACCTAACGTGCTTATTTCTAAATTCAATTTCTTGTTCTAGCTTTCTGTTATGTTTCGTAAAAAAGTAGTCTTGATTATCCCGACCTGTCAATCAGACGTAGAATGGTCGATAGGCTGGTTAAGCGAGACTAATTTCAAAACAAGGGCACGTAACCTATCTTTTACTCAAAAGTGTCTGGATGTTATGGACGACTCTTGGAACCAGTTTTCAGTCTATTATTTATACATGATTAATGGTCATAGCTTATTAAGTACAACATGATCGGTTTTTTAGTGACTATAATTGTGTGAAACTGATTTGAGGCTTGGCAAATATATAAATATTGTGGCGTAATTGTCGAGATATATGGAGATATTTATTTTTAGTGGGTCACCCTAAAAGTTTTAGAAAACTATCCATTATTTGTATCTCTATGGTGCTATGTTTTAAGTTTGATAATAGCCTCAGACTGTCCATCACATAAAAAAGGTTTATCAACATGAGAATTTATAGATGCAAGCGCTTTCTCTTTTTGGTGTGGTTCATTAGCAACTTGGGACATTCCAAACTCTGGCTTTCTAAAATTAAGATCAGAAACTAAAACTGGTTTTAAATCTGTCTTTTCAGCTCCATATCGATTCCAGCTAAATTGCTTGTCAGTACATGCTTTATTGGTGATACCCTCTCTCCAATAAAATCCATTTTAAAAAGTTTTGCAGCTACATGATTACATGTTGACCCCAATCTGAAATAGTAAAAGAAGAGTGGTTAAGAATACTGCAATTTTATCACCTGAATGAATAAGCTTAAAATATTCTAATTAAAAATAGTAGAATTTGCACCCATCTATCATTCCCTAGACATGTTTGCTTTGCCATACTCCTGGCCATTATAGGTACGGTTTATGTGGGCCCCAATGATGGAATAATGGGGTATAGATTATAGATCAGGAGAAAACCTGTCTCCAATTCCCAAAACTGTATACTGATTTTTCAGTTTATGATCAATTTATATCAAGTTCTTTAGACTCAGTCAAAAATGAAAACTCTATAAAACAATTAAATATTGATCAGAACAAAAACCAAACACTTACCAAACAAGTTACATGCAAAGAAATTCTGTCAACTTTTTATACGCCCACTTTTTCATGTGGACGTATATTGTCGTCGCCCCTGTCCGTCCGTCCACAATTGTTTTATAACAGTCTACAGGTCACAATTTTTATCCGATTTCAATGAAACTTGATATATAGGTTTATCACCCTAAGCTCGTGGTTCCTTTCGATATTGGCATGTATCGGACTGTATCTTCATGGATTATGGCCCTTGATTGTACGAAAAATCACGTTTTTAGCTTGTGAACACTGTAGAGGCCACAATTTTTATCCGATTTGGTTCAAACTTGAAATGTATGCTTATAACCCAAAGATCTCGGTTCCTTTCGATATTCGCGCATATCGGAACGTAACTTCCTGAATTATGGCCCCTGATTGTACGAAAAATCGCGTTTTTAGCTTGTGGGCCCTATAGAGGTCATAATTTTTATCCGATTTAAAAAAACGTATTATCATATCACCGTTACACCCTAAGGATGGCTGAGTTCGAATTTCGTGAAAATTGGGCCAAAAGTGACAGACAAAATGTCCGCCCCTCGTTCTCAAATAGCGTAAAAATATGGTATATCAAGGCTGTGGACCCTATAGAGGTCACAATTTTTATCCGATTTTATTGAAACTTGAAATGTAAGTTTATAACCCAAAGATCTCGGTTCCTTTCGATATTTGCGCATATCGAATTGTAATTTTCTGAATTATGCCCCTTGATTGTAGGAAAAATCACTTCCTTTTTAGCTTGTTCTCTATCCATCTCTCGAAAATGTGGGCGTATCCTGCCTGGCAGCCGCTGGTTAATCCAACACACAACAATACAGTTTAACAACTGTAACAAAACAAATAACAGTTAAGCCTACATAACAAATAATGTTAGGCATAAACATACACTAAAGTTCTATGTGAACTCACAAGTTTTAAAAATGAATTTTTTTTTTTTTTTTAACATGAAATAGAATTATTTTTTGTAATTTTTAAATACAAAAATACAACTCACCATTACCCAAGCTTGATGTGGAATGTGAGATATTTTCTGTGATGGTGTACACATGGCTTTTATGTAGCAAAAAGGACTGTCATTATTGATCTGGTGATAGAAAACCTCTTTTAACCAATTGCTGTCAAAATAACTGAGAAAACCTCTTTTAACCAATTGCTGTCAAAATAACTGTATGCTTTTCCTTTCTTGTAACTATTCATAGCCCTCTTGGTTATGCCTGAAAAATAGATTAGGCCTATAAAAGTAAGATCATTCCTATATCCGAATCGTTAAAAATATTCAAATAATTCGATTACATAGCAGTTTCCATCAAAAAATGTTACCGTACCTTATTATCTAGATATAAGACAACGTTTATTATTACTAATTAGGCTATTAATAATGAAAAATTTGTAGTCGGTGAGATACTGTGGCCTAGTAGCCCAGTTAGGCCTAGCTGAAAACTTTAGACCTATACTTCATTATTTGATAATTTCCCTTTTAACTTTAAAGGGATTTTTATGACTGAAGAAAATATTACTTCACCTCTTTTTTGAGGCTCAATTAAAGAAATGGGCTAAGCCCTAAGATAAATTAGGCCTAAGTACTAATTCCTAGTACTAGGCCTAGTATTAGTACTAGATAAAGTAAGGTTTGTGTGAGGGGTGTAAAATAGGCTAATAAATACCTTTGTTAATGTGACCATTTGATGAATGAAAATATTCACAAATATCACCATACATAGTTGGAGGCCAATATCTAGTCCCTATCTTTTCACCAATCCATCCAGTTTTCAGATCATATGGATCGGGCTGTTTTCCTGACGACGATGTATCTAATAAATTCCGGTAAACAAGTGCCTTCTCTTTCATTTGTTCCTCCATGTCCATAACATCCGGCAAGTCTTGTTCAATAGCAATAAAAACACGAGCAACTAATTCTTCTTTACTTCCTTTTATTTTCATGCCCTACTTCTTACAAAAAGACTGTAATGACTTTGCATTCCATAATTTTATGTGGCTAATAGTAAGACTCGACATTGTTTTCGCTGAAGTGATCGTCTGCTCGAGAAGTCAGTCTGGTTTGTTTACATTTGTGCCTTCTCAGAATTCCAAGCGCGGCGGAAAGGGTAATACGGTCTATTATATGCGTTGCGACCCATTTGTGTCAATTTCTAGATCCCAAATATTAGCGATTTAGCTCCTTAATAAAGTAAGTAAAATAAAGCCGTGTGGTCTGTGCTGCCACATTGATTTACGTCGGCGTGGTCGTCCAGAAGTATGTCTACCAGTCGCTTTTTATTGCTTTCAACTGTTGTCATTAATACCGTTTTACCAAAGTTGTCTCCTGCGTGCACATCCGCACAATTATCTATTAGTTCTCTTATCACCGAGTACATTCCGTTGTTTTCCTTCCCCATTTTTAAGCCCAACATGATCATTTTCGAGTAGCAGTTTCACATTTTACGACGTTGACGTGCCCAGAAAGGAGAACCTTATATAAAGCCGTTTTCCTTTGAAAATTATGATGATTTATCCCACACTCGTTACCAATCAACAATTCCATCTTTGTAGAGCATATTTCATTATCTGTTCAGAGAAATCTTTTTAAAACTTTATACAAACATCAAACTATTAAAGTATTTTATTTTCTGATGTATAAGCTTAATGTTTAACATACAGCAGCTGATTGAGGTCGGCAAAGGGTGTTGTGCAATCCGGGGGGTTGGATGGCTGAATGGTTAGCGTGCGCGCGCTGTATCATAAAGTCTGTCATTGAGTCGACTGGCGTGGTTTCGAATCCCCGGTTGTACATGACAAGGAGTAGGGTCGCCTGTCCAACCTCGTGATTTTTCTCCGGGTCCTCCGGTTTCCTTCCACAGCTAAAGACCCCTACGCGCAAGCGAATTATGTAAATAAAATTAAACCATATGTTAGTCCCGAAATGACCTAGTTTGTGTCGACTGGACGTTAAACCCCATTTCTCTCTCTCTCTGTTGTGCAATCCTTAAAGAGAGTAGCGACTTTGCCTTGTCGAGCTACTATGATCAGAGTATGAATCTTCTGACTAGTCCCATTGATATTCCAAGAGGTTGTTTTTCCTTATGCCTTCCAAACAAGTTTAAGGGCGCGGGATGGTGATGACTAGTCATCTTGTTACATCTAATATATCGTCTGTTAATGAAGACTTTGGTGATGATGCAAATAAAATATAAGCTTATTCAAGACAGTTCATAATAAAATGTATTAACATACTAAAATTACACTGTATCATTGATGTAAATTAACCAAATTTGAATTGGTGTGGTGATTAGAATGGCATGTTGCACATTTTATCTATTTATTTATAATTATCTTCATATTCATTTATTTACATTATTTATTTTGAATTTTCTCATGAAACACTAATTATTTTGAATTTTCTCATGAAACACTTGCCTTTACTATTATTATGTACAGATTCTTGAAATATCACAAAGTAAATACATGAAGCAAAATTATATAAGCTTTTAGCTTGTTTTGTATCACACCATTATAATTGTCATGGTATATTTGATATTAAATTTTATGAATAAAAATTGTTTAAATATAACCAAGCATATAATGTATGTTCATAATAAATGAAACAGATTACATCTAGAAAAATTGTTTTGTTGTTATTTACTATATTCAACACAATAACTACATGTTTCGTCCATGTTTTGCTGCTATCATAAGCAGTGTAACGCCATCGTCATTCATTGTATTTACACATGCCCCTTGATCTATTTAGTAGGTCACGACTTTTGCATCACCATTCCGTACGGCACCATATAACAAAAAAAACCAACAACATTTGGTTCCACTTTACCACCTGCTTCCAGTATTACCACCAAGATATCAAAGTTGGAAGATGTCTTCCAGTATTTCTCTTATTTCTGTCTTAGCGCCTACAAGCTCCCATATTTGTCGATTTCTTGTGTACTTTTTACTGCAGCAATAATCACATGCAGATTTTCCAAGTTTCCTTTAATAATTTATATCCGCCCCATGTGCCAATAAGAGTTTAATATTGATAACGGAAGGGAGAAGTGACGTAGTTTTTCATGATTAACGTACAAACCCTCCATGAGAAATGCAAGACTCGATATGAAAACAAGAACATCTTTCTGTGCCGTATCATCGATCGGCAACCCTTCCATTCGCCTTACCAACTATGCAATCCAGGGAAATACGATACGGTCATCCTGGAAAATATAAGCTAACTTTGACTCAAAAATAAGGTCTCTAGCAGCGAACTCGGTGGCGATTTCCCCTGTTAGCTTTCTTCCACCGAAGGTTATAGACCAAACAGCCTTGCCTGTCAAGTGAGTGTTTCTGTTTTTTGCTTTATCGGTAAACCGCAAGGCTGCAAAGTAATTAAACTTCAGTTCTTGCAGTCCTCGATTGATGACAGCTGCCGAATCTAAATCCTTTGAGCGTAAAAGTTCTAAAATCTTACCGAATACCAATGGATATCGATACCGCTACAGTTTGTTTATATCTCAATCTTGGAAAATGTTGGCGTATTTTGCCTGGCAGCCGCTGATTATTATTATTACTGTTTTAGAATTTTCAAAATTTTACAACTTTTAAGATATTTTTTAGAGATGAAACTTTATTAAAACATTACAAACTAAACTACAAACTAACTATATACAAACTAAAAATGTATAAAAATTTGAAACTTTATACAAAACTTAAAAATTTATATACAAATTAAAAAAGTGAGTGCTCAGGCCCTCATCAATTTCATGAAACTCAATTTCTTTACTTCTCCTTTTTCGAAGTATACTCCTTTTTCTGTTGAGTAGATATGCCTGAAGATTCATGACGGCGGAAGGAGACGAGTACCTCTTCCAAACACCCATCCCTAACCAACTCCATTACATGGTAGTTGCTAGCTGAAAACATAAAAGAGGAATATTGGATATCAACAAGAGTTTTACGGAGTACAACCAGTGGATTTATTGATGCAACTTTTGGACAAGTGTTCTTTTGTCCTTATCAAGCAATAAAAATGATATTGCTTGATTTTTATTTTTAGATAATGACCAAAGAACACTTGTCGAAACGTTACATCAATAAATCCACTAGTTGTACTCCTTAAAGTTCCTGTTGATTTGAAATGTAGCCTTTGATTTGAAATGTATCCTATGTTATTGTTGCTGATTTTATTACTTTTATCTCTGTAACTGTTTTATTTAAATTTGATTTTACCAATCTTATTACTTTTACCTATGTTACTATTTTATTTACATTTCAATAATGGAAATTTACACCTACCACTGAGATGCTTCTTTTTATCTATCCAATACATAAAGAATGCTAATTGAGCTTCGGTTAACTTATCCGTTTGGTTGTAGTTCCCCTTTCTTGGTAAGATTTGAATGTATCCCTCTAGGGATCACCCAACTCACTAATCGATAAGGGAGGAGTAAATGCGACTCGGGCGTATTTTAACACGGAAGGTTTTGGGCTGACGGCTGGGTTCTTTTTTTCTTCCTTCTTTTCTTCTTCCTTCTGTATCAGTTCTTCATTTTTTTTGTTCAGTTCTGTCCTGTCTGTCTGTGTTAAATTTAATGCTGCATGGTTTTGTTCCATTTCTTCTTTTTCTTTTTGTCCCCCCGCCTTTCGAAGAAAGCAGGGACTATTAAAATGGGTTCATGCGTCTATCCGTCACACTTTTTGGGACACAATAACTCTCTTTCTAATTGAGCTAGAATGTTCAAACTTGTTGTAGGTGTTTATTGGGTCAATGCCTTGATGGAGTGGGTGTTTATTGTCTGCCAAGGTTAAGCCGAGATAAGCAATTTGATTGGTTGATGCTTTGGGGCACGATAACTTTAGTTCTAATTAAGTGAAAGTGAGGACACTTGGTGTATAGCTTTATTACATCAATACCTTGACTTAAGTTCGATAATGAACATTTTCTGCTAAGAGTAAGCAGAGCGATAAGCAATTTGATTGGTCGAGACTTTGGAACACAATAACTCTCCTTCTATTTGAGGTAGAATGTTCAAACTTGGTGTGGGCCTTCATTGTGTGAATCCCTTCATGGAGTTCGATGATGAACATTGTCTGCTTTTTTGTAGCAGATTCAATTTGTTTATGTGGCATTTCATTTTAATGCGTGGTCATCGTAGGAATATCTAATTTTAGTGTCAGTGACTTAAAGACTAGTTACACAATACAATGATTAAATGCGTTGTATGGCAATATGATGCTAGACACGTTTGTTAGTTCTTAGTAATTGAATGCAATGGCGTCGTTTGAAGAAGAATGTTTAAAAAGTGTAGTTTTGATGCCGCGGTTTCTACAAAAGTTCATGTTCCATATACAGAATTATTATAGATATTTCAATTGAGGACATCAATGCAAGAGAGAGGCCATTTTTAATATAAAAAATAGCAGGAATTCTGGTTCCCAAATCAGATATAACTACATCCACTGCACGACCTGGTCTAATATAACGCAATTCGATTATCCTTTGCATGAGAATAGAACTGGTCCCATCCATTCAACAAGGTGTCCATGTAATCATTTGTCTGAAGACTTGGCAACCAGGTAACTGTGGTCAAGTGAGTTCCACAAGGGTTGTACCTAGGCCCTCTACGTTTCCTCATTTGCATAAATGGTACTATACCGGAAAAGCCCTATACAATGGTGGTTATCTTGAATTTCAATATCATATTAAATTTTATCTCGAAGAATGTCACCCACTGGCCGTTGTGTTTTCCAACAGCTAATAATCAGAGTCAAGCTGCAAACAAAATATTTCACACTTTGGTACATCATCTGCGTCATTTAAGCTCAGCTGAAAGTATTGCTCTGGAAGGACATCATTCATTTTGATAAACTCTTTTAGTTTAGGGGGTAATGGTAGCTTGTTTATGTTGGTCATGATACCAGCACCCATACATGATCTAATGACTCGTCTACAAATAAAATTTAATTTTCTATCTTTACGGTATTCCTGGAAGTTGTCTGCGACAACCTCATACTTTCGTCTGCCAGAACCCACACCTAGCTTCCTATACAAGGATGCCACAGTTTTAACGGCAGTTCCATTTTCATATAAAATCTTTCCCAACAATAAAGGGTCGGAAAATTGGATAAGGTACCATTCCATATATAATGGACACAACTTACAGTTTTCTATCAGCAGATACATCATTATATTCGCCTCATGCGTGTTTAACAATAAACACTGCAACGAGGGGGCGCATAGGTCGGTGCCGTCGCATCCTTTCATTAGAATTAATTTCAAAATATTCACCCATCTGCGATCAGTGCCAAAGTCTAGGTAAAATAAAGCCGTATGTCCATAAATATCTCGTTGAATTACATCAGCATTCGCTTTTAAAAGTAGTTCTACCAACCGTCTGCTTCTTTTTTTAACTGCTACCATCAGCACTGTTTTACCGTCTATATCACTCAAGTTCAAATCGACACCATTCTCAATCAGTACTTTTATAACTGCGATATATTTCCTTGATAAGTCTACCTTAATAAACAACGGCTTGGCTTCTCGTTCCGTTGAGTTTACATTGGTTTTATTTTCTAATTGGTCGACCTGTTCAGATTTAATAATGATCTCCGCACGGCTTCCCATCATTTTGTTTACAGTACACTTCATTTCTTCGGCATTTAATGCCATTTCTACTGCAACCCTTAACACTGTTTTGCCATCTTCGTTCCTTAAGTTTACATTGGCACCATTTTCCAACAATAAGAATACAGTTTTTAATTTGTTAGAATGTTCAGATTGGATAATCTTATGTAAAGCGGTTTCCCCTTCAAGATTCTGATTGTTTACATCACAACCGTTAGCCAGCAGTACCTTTATTACTTCACGTAGTCCTCTATTAGCTGCTATCATAAGCGGTGTATCCCCATCCCGGTCCCTTAAGTTTACATTGGCGCCATTTTCCAATAACAAGATTACGTTTAATTTCTCAGACAGTTCAGACTTGATAACTTTATGTAAAGCGGTTTCCCGTTTAAAATTCCTACTGTTCACGTCACAGCCATTAGTCAGCAGTAATTTTATTATTTCTTGTAACCCTCTTTTAGCTGCTACCATAAGCGGTGTATCTCCTCGTTTATTTTTCTTATTTACACATGCACCATTATCGATCAAGAAAGCCACACCTGCCAAATCCGCAATGCTTATGGCACGATGTAACAGACAACTGTCAGGTGACAGTTCTGCACCAGCTTCTACTAAAACCTTCAAGATTTCGAAATCCGAGTGCGTATCATGGACGACTTCTCTATCGCACTTATCAGTGAAGTCGGTTACATTCACATATTCCTTTAACGAAACTTTTGAATTCTTGTGTGCAGAGGCTATATGGAAATTCTGCTTGTAGCAATAATCAGATGCAGATTTCCCCAATTGTGATGTAGAATTTACATCCGCTCCATGTGCCAATAGGAGTTTAATTAAAATCATATTTGATAGTTTAACCGCCTTCATCAGGGGTGTAAACCCATTTACGGCAGCTAAATTGACGTCACATCCGGTTAAAATCAATTGTTCAGCTATTTGAAAGTTTGATTCCAGTAGTGATGCCAATAATGGAGATAACTGATGAGCGCCTGATTTGGTGTTTAACTCACATTTACTTCGGATTAATGCATCAACAAAACGACAATTTCCATGTAAAGAGGCTAAAAATATAGGCGTTTCATTATTGGTATTCGGAGCGTTTACGTCCAGACCAGATTTGATCAAAGCCCCCATGCATTCAGTAATATGCCCTGAATTGCAGTTAGGCGCTAATAAGTGCAGAATGTTGTTTTGTTTATCGTCATCAGATAATTGAACCCCTTGTCTCAGTAAGTAAGTTACAATTGGGGTCATTCCAACTTTTGCAGCCATGTGAAGGCAGTTGTGCTTGGGAGGAGTAACGTATTCTTTAAAATCCAAATCGGCACCTGCATCTATCAAAATCTGGACACACTGAAGGCTTCTACTTGTAGAACCTTTTTCTACTAAGCACCAGTGTAAAGCCGTGTAATTATTTTCACCCCTCTGACTTTTAATTGTTGTTTTTAATTCACTTTTCAGTATTATTTCTAAGCATTCTGGGCGCTTAAAATAACAGGCTTTCATCAACAACGTCATATCCGTATCTGGGTCTTTGTTCAGCTTGGAAATAGTGAGCAGATATTCTAATGTGACAATCCTCGCATTTTGTACGGAGTCAACTAAAGCACTCCATAGTATCTTGCCTGTCCTTTCTTCAAGTATTTCAAACGGAATTCCCTGTGATCGTAAATATTCCAAGCCTTCTATGTATTCCATCCTAATGGCTTCCGTAATAAATATTAAAAAAATGACGGCGTTCTTTTTTGATGTTTGGAAATACTGCGGATAAACATTAGACGGCAACGTTCGTTTTACATCTGGCAAATCTTTCCTTTTCATGGCGTCGACACACCGCCTGAAGTCTGAGGTCTGCCAACTGAAACAGTACAATTGTATAGAATTATTGTTCACTATATATCAACAGATACCGAAAGATGTTGAATTGAAATCAAGCCGACAATATATGAAATGAAATGGGGTCATACTTTTCTGCAGCAACTGAGCTAATGAAGACAGACATACGCCATACAGCGCGCTATGGCCTACTTTGGTTTATCGTTCCGTGCGCTTTAGATTATAGGGTCTGTCATTGAGTCAAGTGGTGTGGTTTCGATTCCTCTGCCAATTACTATTGGGGGAACCACGCCGGGAAATCCCAATGAACCGGAGTCTCAGGGTTATATAGCAAGTCAACGTCTTACTCACTGAGCCACCGCGGCTACCGGGCTTGAAACGACCTGGGTGTCTCATGTGGTAGGCTACAGCACAGCTAATAGAGTAAACTAAATTTTCAAAAATACCGATCATTTGGCTGTTCCTGAAGCAACGACTGTGAGTTTTACAACATCTTGACGTTGCTAGATTACTTTACAATTCCCGAACTTCTAGCGACCTCCACGGAAACCTTGACACTGAACGAACCTTGAACTTTGCAATTCGATTATCACATATAGACATTTTAGCTGGAAAGCGCGAGAATTGGTATTCGCGATGATCGAGGAATCTGATAGACCCCCAAGCCCGGTGAATTAGTGTCGACATATACAGGATATTACGTCAAGGCCTTGATAAGACGCACGTAGTTAAAGCGAGATCAAGCCTTCTATGGAAGACGCGAGTGTGGGATTTGTCACGAATTTCTACTCGATACCAATAATAGCTGTGTACTTGGACTGGAAAGTTTTAACATTAAGCAGGTGTTGGTACTTCCGTGTTCTGGACCTTACAATATAAATGCGTGTATGAATACCACGACCAGGAATGTGCCAAAACCTCTGTCAAAGTTCAAATTGAAATTGCGCCGGTTTCCAAAGCGTTAAATGAAATGAAATGGTGTTTAACGTCCTACTGTTCTGCTCATAAACTGGGCTAATGAAGACGGGCATAAGGCATAAAGTGTGCTATGAGGGAAATTTTGCCCGGGCAGCGGCACTACGGCCTACTCTTATATCAAATTCCAACTGCCAAGGGATCTTTTACGTGCACGCCAATGTGTACACGGGACCTCGGTTTTTTTCGTCCCATCCGAACGGCTAGACAGCTGTTCTTGTCAGGCCCTCCGTCCTGCATCATTGACAAGGGGAAACCATACGCCGGAAAATCTGGATGAACTTTCTCGGCCAATGCAGGGACCTCCAGGCTAGCGAGCAAGCGTCTTACCCACTTAGCCACCGTGATCCCCGGTTTCCAAATCGATTCCAGTTGATGCATGTTATTTCACTTCCAAAGCGACTAGTGTGGATGACGGAGTGATTGACATATTGAATGTAATAATATAATATGGTAATAATATACTAATACCTGCGCAAACACGTTAATCGAAAACGATCGTTATCCATTTTGACATCAAGCCTTTCCTATCTCTTATCCCTTTTTGATATATTATAAGTTGAAAACCATTTTAACACCTCGAGTCACTTCAGTTATGGCGTTAAGCCGTTAAATCTCTATTGGCGACATGCCAACACAGAGACCCATATAAACAACGACTATTGGTGTGAGGTAGATATGACTTCATAACAAATTAATATTTATGTTGTTGTTGTTGGTTAGTTGTATTTTACGTCCGCTTCCACCGAGGTGATATCGTAGACAATAACATGTTATGTATACAAGGTGCAATAATTTACAATGTGATTAGTGAAAAAGAGGATAATTAGGTTTTTATATATATGTACAGAAGACAATAGATAATATTTATTAAAAGAAAAACTTTTTATATACAGTTGGAAGCCATTTTAACACCCAGTGACTTTAGTTAATGGTGTTAAATCGCTATTGACGATATGATAACACAAGAAACGGCTATTGTTGTCAGGTAGATATGATTTTATAGAAATGAGTATGTATTTAAAACCCGTTTTGAAAGACAGCGTATTGACACAATAGGCTATACAAACAATAGCAGTATTGTAATGCATAAGACATAATTGACTTCTTTAAATGCTCAAAAACAGCCTGGACAATGCAGGTTGTGTAGGCCAGGTTTTCCAGTCTATGCCACACCCAAGTAGAGTGGCTCACAGCCTCAAATATTTGTTCTACTATATAAACTGACCTATTTTAACAGCAGCTCCCCCCACCCCCTGGGAAGCCTTACTAGATGTAACAAAACCACTGTTAAGACCAGATACTCCCTTTTCTCTCCTTTTTCTTTTCAGGTGCTGGATTCTTTCTTCGGAGAACCAATAACAAAAGGAACGAACAAACAGAAGTAAAGATGAAATCTGCTACCATACCGGACTAGAAGAAGAAATGGAAGGAAGATTGGACCAGGCCCTACACTCACCAACAAGCCCCAAGGAAAAGTCGCACCGCCCTGCCATTCAACCGGAAAAATCGACCAAACCGACAGAAACGACACATTTAAATATATATATGTACATTAGGGTGTTTCATATTTGAACTTTTTTTCGCGATTGAACTCTACCATGTGCCATGCGTTTTCAATTGGGTCCAAACTCATCACCAGCGAATATTATAATTTTCCTACCAAAAATGGCGGGCCGCCGCCATTTTGAATTTTTCACCAAAAATGATCAATGTGAAATTTTTGAAAAAGTCGGAAAAAATACTTCCCGTTACAGCAGAAAGACAAAACGTGGCACAATGCATCGAAAAGGCACAGAGATGTTCTGCGATTTATTTCAGAATTTTAGCATCAAAATTCAGGAGGTTTGCAATTTGGCATTTTTTAGAAAAAAGTCTTTTCCTGTAGAATTTTTTAAGACCTTGATGATTAAACTCCACCAAAATGTCATAAACAAACCTATCTACACAAATGGAGATTAATAAAGAACTAAATTAGTTATACGGGTTGTCCTCGATGAATATTTTATCATACAAGAGTGACAGAAACCATTCAAATAATCACAAAAGTCATTTAATAATCCAGACGAGCCAAAGTGTGTTTCATATAGTCAGGAAATTTGGTGTGATGCATTTCGACTGACTGTAGCAAGGCCTGTAACTGTTCTTCATCGCCAGTCTTGTCAATGAAGTCTTGAATCGTCCTGATTCCCCGTTCTGGATCATTTGTCACAGGAGTGTTTTCCACAAAGCTTAGAAATTTTCTAAATTAAAAAATTTGTCCTATTCGCTACATGGTACCTGCATCCATTCCTGTGATTCGGTGAGGCCAAGAGGATTAAAGACAAGCCATGAGTCGTTAGATATAAGCTCAGAACAATCTGTTTATTGTCTATTTCTTGAATTTTGGATCTTCCTGGTTTGAAATGAGGTCTAGGTGTTGAAAACAGTTTTATAGCCATGGGTCCACAGACTTTACCAGACAGTCCTTTGTCACATAAGCAAAAAACTACCAGTTTTCAACACCTAGGCCTCAGCTCAATCCAGGATAACCCAAAATTCAAGAAATAGACAATGAAACAGATTTTTCTGAGCTTATATCTAACGTCTCACGACTTGTTTTAATCCTCTTGGCCTCACCGAACCACAGGAATGGATGCAGGGAGAACTTTCCAGAAATATACAATGACACAGATTATACCGAGCTTATATCTAACGACTGATGGTTTGTCTTTAATCCTCTTGGCCTCACCGAATCACAATAGATGCAGGTACCATGTAGCGAATAGGAATATTTTTTAAATTTAAAAAATTTCTAAGCTTTGTGGAAAACACTCGTGTGACAAATGATCTTGCAGAACGGGGAATCAAGACGATTCGAGATTGGCGATGAAGAACAGTTACAGGCCTTGCTACAGTCAGTCGAAATACATCACACCAAATTTTCTGACTATATGAAACACACTTTGGCTCGTCTGGATTATTAAATGAATTTTGTGACTATTTGAATGGTTTCTGTCTCTCGTGTATGATCAAATATTCATCGAGGACAACCCGTATAACTAATTTAGTTCTTTATTTATCTCCATTTGTGTAGATACATTAGTTTATGACGTTTTGGTGGAGTTTAATCACCGTGGTCTTAACAAATTCTACAGAAAAAGACTTTTTTCTAAAAAATGCCAAAAGGCAACCCTCCTAAGTTTTTATGCTAAAATTCTGAAATATATTTCACATTTGGCGAAAAATTCGAAATGGCGGCGGCCCGCCATTTTTGGTGGGAAAATTATAATATTCGCTGGTGATGAGTTTGGACCCAATTGGAAACGCATGGCACATGGTAGAGTTCAATCGCGAAAAAAAGTTCAAATATGAAACGCCCTAATGTACATACTTTGTCTAAATGTTCGTCCATATTCATGTTTGTCTCGTCAAATATTCGTGCTGTGCGTCTGTCTGTCATGAATGATGATTTTAATGGTAAGTCTTATCATATTTGTTAAAATAAGCGCCAAATATAGCTCGTTTAATGGATTTTTGTTCTGTGCATGAATCACGCTAACACAAGCTAGTTGGACCGTTAACCCAACGTATGGCTGGTGTATATTTTGTGTTTGGGATTCTTGCTTCGTTATACAAAGTGTAGTATGGTTAAATTGTATTAGATGGAACCGTTTTTTATTCGATTTAGATTGGTGTCAGTAGGGCCCGCTTTCTATGTACCCGTTTCTGCGCTCCATCTTTTGTATTTCCATGTGCACAGAAACATCGTTGAAAAGTTTGGGGAATTCCATGTAAATGACGTGATAAGTGATGATTTCTCTGTTCATTATGGAGTCAGACATTGTTAACGTTCAGTCAGCGCCATTTTATAGTAACTCGATAATCGGCCATTTCCAAGTTGAATTTGCAGCAACAAGAGCCGTAGATTGACATAACGTGTGTGTGTGTGTGAAATAGCTTTATTTAACGCCCAAAGTGATATCGCAGAATATCCATCGACAATGGAATTGAACCACCGTTTGTTTGTACGCTAAAAAAGTACGAAAAAGTCGCTCATGGATACGGTCCCATTAAATTGGCAGTAGACCGACTTTTTCGTTGGCGAAAAAGCGCGCGAAAAAGCGCGCGAAAAAGCTTAAATGGAAAGCGGACCTAGAACATGGGCTTTCGGCACAGCCCGGATTGAGTGGTGTGCAGGGAAAACGGCAAATGGGCATCCATTTCAGAGGAGGGTGGGTGGTACAGTCAAATAGTGAAATTAAAAATTAAGTTGAAATTGTACAAGATGTGCTAATTGATTGGATTGCAAAATATATTTCAACTGTTTTTACACATTTAAAATAGCTTCCATTCTAAAATAAAATGAAATGGTGTTTAACGTCCTACTATTATGCTCCTGATGTGGCGTGCTTCTTTTTCTTTTTCGCCACGAAATGGTGTAGCTGTTTGGTATTGTGGGGAATTCTGCTGCAATTGTTGCTCAGGACCCACACCCCGGTAATTTCTCTGCCACCAGTGATCAATTAGCCGATCATAAGCCTTTAAAGTAGAGCCTCTTCAGGGGAGAGGGTGGACGAGCTAAAAAGTAGTTGTGCTATGTTCGGCTCTCTCGCTTCGAACAAACTGAACAAAACTGTATAAAACTATAAAGTTTTATTAAGCATTAATAACATATATACAGGTAAGTTTTAATGGACTGGGAAAACTCTTACACTATTTATAAAGAGGCGAACTGTCCCAGTTCAAGTTGTTCTGTGATCTGTCCTGTGTAATAGCTTAAAGTTATACTATTCATTAACTACAAGCAGTTAAAGACTGTATCTTTCATTAGATGCAAGCATCTAACGACCGTGCGCTCAAAGAGAATTTCTCAAGAACTATAAGTTTAGGTGGAGACGGATATCCCAGTGAGAACAACTGACTAAGGCTACTAGTGCGGGAGAACACGTTCGCCTGGCCGTCTCGACAGGATAGTATCGATTCTGAGAATTCATTCCCAGCTCATGCAAAATTATGAACTATACGTGCCTTAAGTAAACAAAGTATACATTGTCAACAATATAAATTCAACATTATTTAACTGACATACAAAAGTATATTTCAATTACGTTAAATAAGTCATAGGATATGCATATAAATTATAATTGCATGCTTTACATTCAAATTCAGCTCTTTAAGTAAAGGAAGATAATAATACTCAATAATATTAGACAATGTATTATGGTACATTTTCAACAAAATAGATTATATAATAGTGATATAAACTCACTAATAGTATGCTAAATAACAAGACATGGGTTTCTATTAAATTATAAAATTAAAAATACTATATAGCAGATAGCAATATTATTATAAAACATATATAGAAAGAATCCGTCAACTTACTATTCATACAGTTACCAAATATCTATTCCCTCACTATATATAAATACCTGAGAGGGAAAAGGTCGTAAGTGACATTTTTCACTTTTCGAGAAAATCGAGTTTAAAGGTTTGAAAATGGTCCTGTAAAATTGTTTATTTATTGTTTTTTCTAATATTTTGTACAGTATGTTATGATTGGGAATAGCTAGAAATGCAATATAAAGTTTTCAGTTATCAAGTGTGGTAACTCGGAAAAGTCACTTACGACCTTTTTCTACTCTCTACCTATAACCAAAGATACATACTTATTGCTGTTTACGACCTTATGTGATTTTGCCATGGGGTGGAAGTTATATTGGTCTTACGGGTACGCTTTGGATCTTAAGGTCTGTAATTGAGTTAAGTGGCATGGTTAACAGTATGGTAGCCTGCTCAACCTCGTTGGGTTTTCTCCGACTTTCTATCATTGATACAGACCCCTACGCGCAACAAGAGCCGTAGATTGACATAATGCGTGTGTGTGTGTGAAATAGCTTTATTTAACGCCCAAAGTGATATCGCAGAATATCCATCGACAATGGAATTGAACCCCCGTTTGTTTGTACGCTAAAAAAGTACGAAAAAGTCGCTCATGGATACGGTCCCATTAAATTGGCAGTAGACCGACTTTTTCGTTGGCGAAAAAGCGCGCGAAAAAGCTTAAATGGAAAGCGGACCTAGAACATGGGCTTTCGGCACAGCCCGGATTGAGTGGTGTGCAGGGAAAACGGCAAATGGGCATCCATTTCAGAGGAGGGTGGGTGGTACAGTCAAATAGTGAAATTAAAAATTAAGTTGAAATTGTACAAGATGTGCTAATTGATTGGATTGCAAAATATATTTCAACTGTTTTTACACATTTAAAATAGCTTCCATTCTAAAATAAAATGAAATGGTGTTTAACGTCCTACTATTATGCTCCTGATGTGGCGTGCTTCTTTTTCTTTTTCGCCACGAAATGGTGTAGCGGTTTGGTATTGTGGGGAATTCTGCTGCAATTGTTGCTCAGGACCCACACCCCGGTAATTTCTCTGCCACCAGTGATCAATTAGCCGATCATAAGCCTTTAAAGTAGAGCCTCTTCAGGGGAGAGGGTGGACGAGCTAAAAAGTAGTTGTGCTATGTTCGGCTCTCTCGCTTTGAACAAACTGAACAAAGCTGTATAAAACTATAAAGTTTTATTTTGCATTAATAACATATATACAGGTTAGTTTTAATGGACTGGGAAAACTCTTACACTATTTATAAAGAGGCGAACTGTCCCAGTTCAAGTTGTTCTGTGATCTGTCCTGTGTAATAGCTTAAAGTTATACTATTCATTAACTACAAGCAGTTAAAGACTGTATCTTTCATTAGATGCAAGCATCTAACGACCGTGCGCTCAAAGAGAATTTCTCAAGAACTATAAGTTTAGGTGGAGACGGATATCCCAGTGAGAACAACTGACTAAGGCTACTAGTGCGGGAGAACACGTTCGCCTGGCCGTCTCGACAGGATAGCATCGATTCTGAGAATTCATTCCCACAGCTCATGCAAAATTATGAACTATACGTGCCTTAAGTAAACAAAGTATACATTGTCAACAATATAAATCCAACATTATTTAACTGACATACAAAAGTATATTTCAATTACGTTAAATAAGTCATAGGATATGCATATAAATTATAATTGCATGCTATACATTCAAATTCAGCTCTTTAAGTAAAGGGAGATAATAATACTCAATAATATTAGACAATGTATTATGGTACATTTTCAAAAAAATAGATTATATAATAGGGATATAAACTCACTAATAGTATGCTAAATAACAAGACATGGGTTTCTATTAAATTATAAAATTAAAAATACTATATGGCTGATAGCAATATTATTATAAAACATATATAGAAAGAATCCGTCAACTTACTATTCATACAGTTACCAAATATCTATTCCCTCACTATATATAAATACAGTGACTTAAATCTAAATATAGCTTTTATTAGTCTCAACTATTTAGGCATCTAAAGACTATAAATATCGAATTCCAACTGTCAAGGGATCTTTTACGCGCATTCCAATGTGTACACGAAATCTCAGTTTTTCGTCCCATCTGAACTACTATACGTTGTCCTTGCCAGGCCCTCGATCCTGCACCACTGACATGGAGTTCTTCCGTTCTAAATTTTCAATAATATACTTGAGTGTTGGAGGCATACAATCAAGGATTGAGCCGCAAACCTTTGCACACCACTGCCTGGGTTAGTGATTCAAGTAATTGTCAAGTAAAACAAATCTATGTCCCCAAGTCATTACTTATGAAGGAGTAATACGAAAAGGTAAAAACATAAAAGGAAAGTTCTTGTACATTACAAAGTCACTTTAAAGAACATGGGGTTAAAACATTGGCTGTCTTGTCATAATCAAATCAAAGGGAGAAGCAGCCCCACATTGCTATCTGTATACATGTATTCGTTTGATATATAAAGCCCTCGATCCCAATTCTGACGTGATAATCGAAAATCAAGGCTTTGAACCAATGACGTTTCAGGGTTAGGGATAAGATTATCAAGACTCTTACTTGAACTTAAAAGCAAAGGGATTGTCCAAGTTGAGTGGTTTGTTGAAATTAAAGTCAGATAGGAAATTACTGAAGGTAAGGGACTTGTCATCGCTCTCCTTTAATTTCAGTTTGAAGTACCCTTCATCAATTACATCTTTCATGAGAACAAATTCTTTAAGGGGACAAGACAGGCTAGTCAGGGATAATTTAAATCCCAGACCGGCTCCTATACACAACCTTATTTGGCGTCTACAGATTGACTTCAAACTCATATCTCTTCGAAACAGAGAAAACTGATTTGATAATTCTTTACCGCCATTGGGATCTAAGATCAGGGTGAATCCAGCGATTACTGCATTACAGCCACTCTGGTATAATATTTTAGCCAGATTAAGAGGCTCAGTGTGGTATTGTAAATAAGAATTTGAGGATCGGACCGGTAGAACCTTCAAACTACAATTCTCAATTAACATAAACCAATTTAAATCCACTTCATCAACCGCCAGAAGATTATAAAGTATTTTTTCTCCATTTTGTCTTGGAACGTCCAGGGATGCGTTACTTCCGTGCATTAAGAGTAATTTGAAACAGTTGATCCATGAACGATTTGTACCCTTAATCGCAATATAGTGCAAAGCCGATCTTCCGTTATTGTCAACAGAATTAACATCAGCCCCAGCAGTGATCAACTCTTCAATAAGAGATTTGTTGTTTTTCTCTGCTGCAATCATTAAAGCTGTTCTGCCACTCTTATCAAACAAATTCACATTCGCCATGTTTTCAATCAACGCCCTTGACAAAGCGTCGCGGTTCTTTTCTAATGCAATCATCAATGCCGTTTTGCCCTCATTGTCTTGTGAATTAACATCCGCGCCTTCTTTTAAAAATGCATGGAATAAATCTGTGTTGCCAGTCTCAGTTACAAGCATAATAACTGCCTTACCGTTGTTATCCCTTACATTTACATCAGCTCCATGTTGTAGTAAAAGTTTTATGACTTCGCTTATTTTCTCGGCTCCAAATAATCGTTGAATGGCAGCTGCCTTGTGTAAAGCGGTTTCGCCATGGGAGTTTGTACCGTTGACGTCACATCCGCTTTGTATTAGGAGCTGTACCACATGTACATCATCAACGCCACACGCTACTATCAGGAGGGTTTCTCCATTTTCGCTGATTTTATTTATGTCGCAACAATGAAGTAGTAACAGTTTTAAAGCGCGGACGTCTTGCATCTTAATGGCTTTTATAATCACGGACGGGTTGAGCAATATGTTACGTTTTATCGACAACAGGACGTCTAGAAATTCCGCACATGAAGATTCCACCCTGGGAATAGCGGACTCGCTAAAACAATGTTCAAAGATTGCATTTCCGTTATTGTCTGTGGCATTTATATCGGCCCCATGTTCAACCAAAAGTTTAAATAGACCAACATGTCTTAGAGTACATGATTTCATTATGGGCGTGACACCATCTTTATCCGCAAGACCGACGTCAGATCCGGCCAAGATTAATGTTTTAGCGATCTCACACTCTGATTCCATTAATGCGACTAATAATGGCGACCTTAGTTCGTTTCCGCCCCTTTTATTTATGTCACATTTGAGACTTATTAAAGATTTAGTCATAAGTAAATTTCCTTTGCGAGCTGCTAGATGTAGAGGCGTTTCTTGTTGCTGATTGCGGTCATCGATGTGGTCTTTGAAAATATCAACACACTGCTCGATGTGGTCTGTGTTGTTGAGATTTTCCGCCAGATAATGAAGCACCCCATTTCCTTCTTTATCAGTTACATTTATATCAGCACCGTTTTCCACGAGGAAAATCAGACTTTTGGTCAAACCTGCTTCAACCGCCATAAACATAGGAATCAAAGATGGATTTACTGAAGGTGCATTCACGTGTGCTCCTGCTTCAACCAAAGCTTTTATAAAGGCCTGTTTATCAGTGGTTGCTTCCCCTTGTATGCACATATGTAAAGCAGTATGGTATGTCATACTCGTTTGTCGATTCACCGTTTGTTTTAATTCGCTATCTAATAAGATATTTAGAACCCGTATGTTGTCTCCCTGACACGCCCTCATTATCAGAGTCAGATCGGGATCGGGATCCTTGTCGAGATTCGGGACCGAGAGACAATATCTCAACACGTTGCAGCTCCCATCTTCTACACTCTCCACCAGAGCACTCCAACTTTCGTGCATCTTGTTATAATTGTAGTAAGTAGAGCAACATTTGGTTACCGGTTTCCCAACTTCCAGAATTAATCCCTGGGAATGTAGAAATTCCACACCCTCCGCAAAATCTGATTTGATTGCCGTGCTTATTAACTTGATGCTGATGAGTTCGTCTAATTTACCATCGATGATGATGTACCTCAGTGGTAGAAGCAGCTTCAGAAGAGCGATGTCTTTCTTTTTTAGAGCCTCAACACAATGATTAACTCTGCAATAATAATAACACTGGCTTTCGTAATCATTCAATGATATTGGATTGTTTATAATGTCCTCAACAGCTTTCAGGTCGTTTTTAGAAACAACGACTTCAATTCTGCAATAAATAATAAAAAAGCTTTATTAAAGATACATTATGGGAGATTAGATAACGAGTTGGCAGTTGTCACTATAATAGTTAAAATCTAGATAATGTAAAGGCAATTTGCTGAAAATTTCATTCAAATTGATCCACTATGAACCGAGAATTAAGCGATTGAAATTTCCGCCTAGCCTCGATCATCATTACTAAAAACAGCATAGTCTCGATTATCCATTTAATCATTAAATCGTGAAGGAAAGTTATGCAGTAAATCGGCTCATAATCCACTAAAGTCAAAGGCTAGCGATGCCATCATGGGTTGATTATAGTCTGGATAGGTTAATTAATGTATAATAAATAATTTAGATATAATTTTTTGGCCTAAAGATGGACCTGCAATAGACAGATTTAGCTCTTGCGTAATGTATGTTTAATATATAAAATTTGAGAGGTTATATTTGAATTTTATTCCACGGGTTTGATCGTTTGGAAAGACGGGAGCAATATAAATAAACGAACAGACACTCAAAACCTCAATCAAAATACTCATAAGTCAAATAAAAGTGGGATGTTGGTAGCCCAATGGGTTGACGCGTGCACTTTAAATCGTGAGGTTTGGTGGCAGAATTGTATGGCACGTGCCCTTTAAATCATAAGGTCTGTCATTGAGTCAAGTGGCGTGGTTCCGATTCCCCGCTTGTACGTGACAAGGAGAAGGGTCGCCGTTCCAACCTAGTGGGGGTTTTCCGGGTACTTCAAATTTAACTATATCGAGTATGTTTAAATTAGATAATGTGTAAAGCTTATGAGAAATGTACCAAGGCAGCGCTGGCATATGAGTTTTAACCTTCAGTTAAAGAAAATGAAATGAAATGGGGTTTAACGTCCTACTGTTCTGCCCCGACTGGGCTAACGAAGACGGGCATACGCCATACAGTGAGCTATGAGGGAAATTTTGCTCGCGCAGCGGCACTATGGCCTACTCTTATATCAAATTCCAACTGCCAAGGGATCTTTTCAATGCATGCCAATGTATACACGGGACCTCGGTTTTTCGTCCCATCAGAAGGACTAGACGACTGTCCTTATCAGGCCCTCCGTCCTGCATCACTGACAAGGGGAAACCACGTCTTGACAATCCCGATGAACTTTCTCGGCCAATGCAGGGATCGAACATCCGACCTCCAGGCTAGCAAGCTAGCGTCTTACCCACTTGACCACCGTGACTCCCTTTCGATTAAAGAGTTACACACATTTGTTAGTGATTATAAAGTACCCTCGAGAAAAAACCCTTATTCCAAGTAGATTGACGCTTAGTATTTTGCTAATTAGTCGAGTTTATGGTTATTTTGAATAGTTAAATATATGTACTTTTAGTCGCTATGTACGTACCTGTCTCTAAAATCTCTAAATGATAACGCCATAGTAACTAAAGATTGGGGAAAGTGTCTTGTATCCCCTTTAGACATCTGTATACTTTACTTCAAAATACAGCTTTCCTTCTACCTGGTTATTTAAATACCTGTAGCATTATCATATGTCGCACATATAATCTTCTATAAACTGTACAATACTTTATACTATAGTATACTATACTTCACTTCATTTCTCTGTACACATGATCATTTCAATACCTGTCATGGGAGTAGGTCACATTGGCCCGACTTAAATTAATAACAAGTACGGAAACCCAGTATCGCAATAAATTTAATAACACCCCCCCCCCAAAAAAAAACCCCAACAAAAAACAAAAACAACACGCGTAGGTTTATTTTGCATTTAAAAATATAACCATTATTTGTAAAATTAACTTTGAACAGAAATGTGGCCTATAAATTTAAAGGTATAAGTTTTTATTAATTTAATCCATTTGTTAGTTCGGATTAGTAGATTTAGACAAAAAGCATTAGATAAGATGAATATAGACGGCTATTAATTCAATTCATTTATATAACACATTTTCAACTTGTTTTTTCCGATTATTAAATATAGGAAACATTATTGTCATAATATTATTTGTGGTGAAATGTGTATAAGTAATACATTTAGCGCCCTTTTGGATTTTTTCAGCCCGAAGAAATTCTTTGCTCAACGATTTAAGCGGCATTACGACGTGTTATATGTTAGGGTGACCCACCATAAATAAATATCTCCATATATCTCCATATATCTCGACAATAACGCCACAATATTTATATATATGCCAAGCCTCAAATCAGTTTCACACAATTATAGTCACTAAATAAACGATCATGTTGTACTTAATAAGCTATGACCATATAATCATCTATAAATAATAGACTGAAAACTGGTTCCAAGTGTCGTCCATAACATCCAGACACTTTTGAGTAAAAGATAGGTTACGTGCCCTTGTTTTGAAATAAGTCTAGCTTAACCAGTCTATCGACCATTCCACGTCTGATTGACAGGTCGGGATAATCAAGACTACTTTTTTACGAAACATAACAGAAAACTAGAACAAGAAATTGAATTTAGAAATAAGCACGTTAGGTAGCTCAACAATCGTTTTAAGAACCTTGTAAAAATAAAATGAAACTACTGCTGGTATCATGTTCCTGTCTAACCCGAGTGATTCAGAGATATTATTTGTACTAAACCAAAAGATGCCGCTCTTAACGGTACAGTTAATGATAAAGCGATTTAAAAAATGAAACGAACGTAATTTCTAAATCTGCTGTAATAACCAAGAAGCTTAATTTCACTGCTATTCAAAATCGTCAACAATAAATTTTTTACGGCTGTAATAGTTGATAGATTTGTAAAGAACTGCACGTGCCGTGGCTATTTATAGTATCATACTGTCAGAAAGTTAGTCTCGGCACGGCGAATGTGCACGCTTCAGTGGTAGTCTCGAACTATCAGCGGTGGACTTTATTTCTGTAGAGTACATGGGTCACCCTATATATGTGTATGCAATTTGTTTATTCCATGCAGAGTCGTTGTTAAGATTGATGAGCGGCGAGTAGGGAGTTAACATGACACGTGTCTTTAAAAAGTTTTTGTCTCTCCTATCCCCTTTCTAAAATCCTACATACGCCATTCCGGGCACATATATATTCTGTGACATTTCTTTCGACTTTTGATTTTACATTTTCGATAGCAAACTTTTTGTCTTCGGCTTCTGAAATAAAGTTCGTTCACAACATTGTTTCATTTCGTTATAAGTATTTGGGGCGTTTACTTAGCTATAATTATTGCTGCGAGTTTGAATTTCAACGTCACAAATCGTTAATATACCAATAATATACAGGTATAGAACTATCATTGTGGCAATATTATGCTTCCGTAGTATTGTCCTTGAGCAATATCGAATTGAGCAATATCCCGTAAAGAGATATCTCCCATTCAGTTAAAACAAACAAAACAAACAAAGAACATCGTTAGACAGTGAGTAACATATATATCGGTTATAATCAGGGGGTATTCATCCAGTCACATCTCGATGGGTGGAACACAACAGATGCCCCTTGATCATTAAACAAGAGAGAGAGAGAGAGAGAGAGAGAGAGAGAGAGAGATCGGTTATAATCAGGGGGTATGGGGGTATTCATCCAGTCACATCCCGATGGTTGAAACACATCAAATGCCCCTTGACCATTAAACATCGGGTCGAAGCCGTGTCACTTGACTTTGTGCTCTAAAGTGCACCACTTTAGCACCGACCTAGTTTATACCGGGGAAACACAATTCTATTCATGTCTGGAAGGAATGAAGACATTCTGCCTGATGTAGAAAAGCCCTATAGCTTATTAATGATATAGTCGTGCACCACTGACAAACGGAAATCACACTGCAAAATCCCGAGGGCCTTTCCCCACCAACACCGGGATCAAGAGAGAGAGAGAGAGAAATGGGGTTTAACGTCCACTCGACACAACTAGGTCATTTCGGGACTAACATATGGTTTAATTTTATTTCAATAATTCGCTTGCGCATAGGGGTCTTTAGCAGTGGGAGGAAACCGGAGGACCCGGAGAAAACCCACGAGGTTGGACAGGCGACCCTACACCTTGTCACGTACAACCGGGGATTCGATACCACGCCAGTCGACTCAATGACAGACTTTATGATACAGCGCGCGAACGCTAACCATTCAGCCCCCCCCCCACCTCACCAGGACCAAACCCAGGACGTCCTTGGTAATGATCCAGTAACACCGTGGTTCGCCTTTTGATTACGGGAACATATAAACAAGTCTTTATCCAATGGAGTTTAAAATCAAACTGGCTGCCTTGTACATAGATACAATGTTACAAACAATAAGACTAAACAATTTTCACCCAAACTAAGTTCACACAATTCAGTAGACTGATTACTATTTAAGGTATATCAGAACACAATTCTATTCGAAGTTAGAAAGAATAAACACACCCTACTTCGTGTAAAAAAAAAACCCTTTATATTATTGAAGAGAGCGTTTAGGTGCTATAGAACTTATGATAGGTTCCCACTATCATGATTCGTGCTACGATTGAAATCGTGGTTTTAATCGTGGAGTCATCGTGGTGATCATTTATTGAAGTAAGACGTAGCAATCGTGTTGATCGTATCGGAACGTACCAGATCGTGGACTGAATGGGGCAATCCTATCGTAACGCATCTCACGACAGTGGGAACCTAGTATTAGGGGAAAAAAACAGAAGTAGCAGACAATTAATTAAAGAAAAATTTATTTTCAAAGAAACATTATCACACAATAAAATTCCATGTGCACAATTTCATTTATAACCAAGACCTTTCTTTAATACATACATATAACTAGAGAAACTAGCTTCAGTGTACAATAATGCTATATAATGATATACATGTAATATTTTCTTAGAAAAACTGAAATATATTCTTATAAAAACTGTGTAATACAATGACAATCTCTATAAAGCTAAATAAAGAAATGAAATTCTCAGTAAAGTTATATAACGAAATGACATTCTCAGTAAACTCATATAACCAAATAACATCCTCGGTCAACTCATATAACGGAATGATATTCTCGGTGAAATCATAACGAAATGACATTCTCTGTAAAGTCATATTACGAAATTACATTCTCAGTAGTCATATAACGAAATAACATTCTCAGTAAAATCATATAACGAAATTACATTCTCAGTAAAGTCATATAACGAAATTACATTCTTAGTAAAATCAAATAAGGAAATGACATTTTCAGTAAAATCAAATAATGAAATCACATTGTGAGTAAAATTATATAATGAAATTATATTTTCAGTAAAAATTACATCATGGAAATAAATCTACAGTAAAATTATATCATGAAATAAAATTTTCATTAAAATTATAATATCATAACTTAAATTTACAGTAAAATTATATCATGAATTTCAATTTACAGTAAAATTCACTTATTAAATGATCGGTTAATTATAATTACATTTTGAAATATTAATGGAATTTATAGAATATAAAAATATACATATAGTTCCAATTTTAAATATTGAGTGAATGTGCATATTGTGCATAAAATAAGACTGTGTGAATAATATTGGTATGAAATGAAGTCACACTTACAACCCAATCAAATATAAATGTATATCTCTGACACAACTAACAAGAGTTATATAATACTGATCGCAAACAATGCAATAAAATACATTAAAACATTAGAGGATAGATGGATATCTTAGCACAGATACCATATGTCATATTTAAAGACACAGATTGGCAATTGTTTTCAGGGTAAACGAAAAGTCAGTGAAATATTCTAACATTTCAGGATTAAGTAAAATTTCAATGAAATATTCTGACATTTCAGAGTAACCAAGATATCAATGAAATATTCTGAGTTAAGCAAGATGTCAATGCAATATTCTGACATTTCAGAGTAACCATCGTGTCAATAAAATATTTTGACATTTCAGAGCAACCATCATGCCAGTTGAGATTTCGGAGTAAACGAGATGTCCATAAAATAATTTGACATGTCAATAAAATATTTTGACAATTCAGAGAGTCAACCTGAAATGGAAGCACGAAAGAATGAGCGAACAAAATATTAACATACTTGACAAATTTCGGTGTGTGTTTTTTTTTTACTATAAAAAGTTAAGTTTAATACAACAATAGTCTTGCATAACCAGTCGAGGAACGAAACCTGTGTTTCGCTGTTAGTTGTCTAGCAATAGTCGTGGAATGAATTTTGTATTTCACTGTCAGTAGTCTTGCATAACTAGTCGTGGAATGAGTTCTGTATTTGTTCTCGATCTTCCTCGTTCATAACATTCATTCTTCTTGGTGGCTGAAAAACAAGGAAAGGGGGGTAACTCTTTCTGAAGCGCCGAATTTAAACCATGTCATGGATTTATTATCTAAGCCGTCAAGTGATCTACTAAATATACCATTTATTATCGAATGTATTAGTTTGTTCAAACAGATTTTATTGCAGATAATATACAAAGATATTAAGACAAATTATAGAAATTATGAACTTGCTCCCATAATATAATGTTGATGGCAACACAAACATTTAGCATACACTAGATACAGTTATATACAAATTATATAAATATATATATATAGTTTGATATACAATAAGCGTAATTTAAATCATTGTCATTTTAATGAATTTTTGCATCTAATATAAGTTATTCATTATCATTAACTAAATATGATACATATGAGTGTACTATTGTGAGGTTATAATTTACTATTAAAACCTTTTGTTCTGAAAATATAACGTTAAACTGCAAGAAATATTTTCTTGTTGAAAACGCTTGGTAAAACAGGGCTCCCATTTAGTAAGATTTTTAATAATTCGTCAAAAGGGACCGTTGAAATATCACCAAGACAAACATACGAACACCCCATCGGAAAAGTGCCAACTCAAGTAGATCGACAAAGGGGTAGAGGTTAACCATTCACTCAATGATTGCTGTGGACTACATGATATTATGGACACTTTGATTTAATTACGATTAATTACATATGAAGGAGTAAACTGTTTGGGATACTTACTGTTGGTACACCATATCTACGTGCATAAACAACTTCTCCAAGTAGTGCTATTATTGATAGAATAAAACCAATTAGAGCAATTAAGAGAGCTCCCGAGAACCTCCTCAAAGTCACCGCCTTCTCGTAAGCTACAGTTGAATCTTGTCCAAAGCTATCAAAGATGGGCAGACCATGACTCAGGGTAGTTTCCTTCATGGCACCCTTAAGACACCCTGAACCCATCCATTTCTGCTTGATCTCATAGATCTTCTCTTGTTCCTGCAGATGAAGAATGGCCTCGTCTAACTTATTACACAGCCCCGTCTTATTTTTCTTACATGCAAACCCGTAGCCTCTATCAACCTGTAGATTATCTAACACCATCAGATCACACGGTGGTTGCGACGCTAGGTAGTCCAGAAGAGAAGCTTCGCCAATGAAAGCATAATTAGAAGTTCTGACTTTGACAAGCGCTTCATTATTAGTTGCAACATAATTACTATCAGACATATTCATACCCGCGAAGAGTCGCTTTTCTAGAAACTTTTTAGAGTTCTGCAGATACCAATACGTTGATCCTCCTTTTATGACGCCAAAAGAAGCCCTTTTTTGCTGGGACAACTCGGAGAATGTCATAAAGGGGATGTTCCTGGTGTTAGGTTCCTGTGTCAAGAAGAATGCGGTAAGGTTGGCCACATAGGTGGCTATGAACATAATGGTAAACATCCACCAGAATCCAGCCATCATTCTTCCGGAGATTGATCGTGGTGCAGCTGTATAACCTAGAAATAGTAATGACATGAAATGCAATGGTGTTTAACGTCCTACTGCCATGCACCGACTGGAATTGCAAATAACAGACAAATTCATGTGGGGTTTCGTGAGGGTGTTGTTGTTGTTTATTACAAATTCAACGTCCAATACATTACTTATAATATAATGGAGGTCACCCAACTACTCGGGGGACTTATATAGCCCAATGGCCTACTGATTGAAACATGCTAATATTTCAATAAATTTGGGGCCGGTGATACGTTTGACCTAGGGTCCATAAGTAGGTAAATCCGGCCCTGCCTGTAGTATATATTAGGGTATTACTTACTTTGCCAGGTTAAGGAACTGAAGGTGTAGAGAAAACTGTTAAACAGGGTAAGACCTTCATAGGTTGATGATTTTCCCACGAAAGAACAATCCTCGTAGGGGCTGTATCTTCCAATTCCATAGAAGAACAATGAGATTCCTATGAAAACAACAGCCACCATGACCCAAACCCCTGGAGTGAAGGGCGTAAAGAGGACTGTCAGAGGTTCAGCATTAGCCCAGGGATCTGGAGGCTTGTACAGGATACTTAGTCCAGCATTAATAAAAGGATGGGAGAAGTCAACTACTGTTGCTCTTTTTGAGGTGATGGTCAGTGGCGCCGCAGCTATATCGACATCCTGTAAATGCAAATTGTGAAACAAATAATAAACTTAGTTTCATCGTGCCTAGAATTGGACGTTTAATGTACCTTTCGAGAAGAACGACAGCCTGTTTTCATTAATGTATGGATTCCTTTGCCATAGGTGGCACCGGAAGTAAGCCGCTGGATCGCTAACAAGGACGTCAGATGGGACGTAAAACCGATGTCCCGTGTACACTTTATCGTGCACGTATGTCCGTCGAGATTAGCCCAGTTGGTGCAGAAACGTAGGACGTTACCCCCCCCCCCCTTTCATTCCATTTAGGGAAAGACAGTTCCGTTTACTTTCTTCGATTTCCAACTCTCTTTCGTGCACACGAATGTGTATACTGATGAACCTGGTGTAGCAACATCAGATTAAAGTAACAGTAATCACTTGTAAACTACAATACTGTGAACGACGAATCTCTAAAAGGAATAACAGTCAACAAATGGTTCAAATCTGTTCAGTATTTACAAAGACACGTGGAATTGAAATTATATCGATCTATGCTTTTCACTCTGCATAACGTCCGACGCTAATTGGGATAGGGTTTCCAATCTGGTCAAACTGATAGGACCATCGGGATTTTAATGACTAGACGTGACGTTTTTTGTCTTCCAGGGAGTTTTGTGACCGGGGATAGGGTGTGGAATCTGGTCAACTTGATAATATATCAGTGCAGACGGTTGGTGATGCCCATGGGGCCAACCCCTTGATTGTCTGCAAGTGGACGGTAACGAAATTAACAGCTATAATTTCAACTTCCCAACACCTTAATCTAATATGACTCTTTTCTTGGAGGCCCCCCCCCCTCCCCGGAAATAGATGTCAGGGACCGCAGTTCCTCTTTGGTTTGACCCCCGCCCCCCTCCCCCCGCCTTGAAATCAGATGCCCGGGCCCACAGCTCCTCTTGGTTGGATGCCCCTCCCTTGAAATAGATGCTTGGGACGGCAGTTCCGCTTCGGTTGACCCTCTCCCTCAAATAGGCTTGCAGCCAAAATTTCTAGCGTGAAGTTCCGCTACATGGTCCTCCCAAATAAACAAACTATACATTTTTGGAAAGCTTTTAACATCAGGAACACAAATCCAGAGAGTTCCAAGCAAAAAGTCTGCACTAACTCGATTGAGGGCCAGATGAAAATTGTGATAATTGTTAAGTAAATGCTATATTTATACTAATAATTGTGAAGTTGACATAAAATTAAATATTGGCTAAAACACCCGATGCCTTCATCCTATGTAGCGGAATTGTGTTTCTAAGCAAGGTAGAAATTTTGGCTGCAGGCCTAAAACCCCTTGAAATAGGTGGCCGAATGGTTAAAAGGGTGCGCGTTAAATAATAAGGTCTGTCATTGAATCAAGTGGTGTGGTTTTAATTCCCGCTTGTATATGACAAGAAATATGGTCGCCTGTCCAACTTCGTGGGTTTACTCCGGGGTTCACCGGTTTCCACCGCGCAGCTAAAGACCTCTACGCGCAAGCGAATTATTGAAAAATAATTGAACCATTTATTAGTCCCGAAATGTACCGAGTGGACATTACCCCCCCCCTCTCTCTCTCACTCTCTCTCTCTCTCTCTCTCTCTCTCTTCAATGTTCATCTCTTACCTTATGCACTAAATCTCCTATCATCCCGTTCCACTGTCCAGGTGTATGTTCGGAGCCATAATTGCCGTCATCTGGTGTAACTATATCATACGTAAAATTTGAATATTTACTCATCTCATCCAAGATGTCGATAATAATTCCTTGATATTGTTTTCCCTCTGTTGGCATTAAATATGGCGGCTCCTGTAAAATAAAGTAGCGTGAAATATTTAAAGGGGAAATCACCACAAACTTTCGATCGCTGGGTAAGACGCTAGTTCTCTAACGAGATCAACCCCAGGGGCGCAAAACAGGGGGGTGGGAGGGGGTGGGTGAGTGCGGCTTAGTCCAGATAGGCAGATGGGCCGATGTTTTTACCAAGTGGGCCGGTTTTTTTCAGGGAAATGGGTCGGTTTGCCGGCGGCCCTTACACGTTCAATCAAACCAAAATGAGGCCTACAGATTAATATTCAACTGAGACATTCCAAAATTACAAAATGCTAAATTTACTTAGTGCAGAACAACAGGGTGTGAAACTCCATTCTTATTTTATTTCATTTTTCATTTCGTGTAGGTATATAAATCCAACCTCGAAATATGAACACAGTGGCCTGTTTAGCATGTCTAGAAGTTTTAGCTAAAAAAAAATTCGAGCCTTTTGGCGGCGAAATGAAATGGTGTTTAATGGGCATATGCCATAAAATTTTACCCGGACAGCGGCACTACAGCCTACTCTTATATCGAATTCCAACTGCCAAGGGATCTTTTGCGTGCACGCCAATGTGTATAAGGGACCTCGGTTTTTCGTCCCATCCGAACGACTATACGTTGTCTCTTGCCAAGCCCTTTGCACCACTGACAAGGGACAACCACGCCGGAAAATCCTGATGAACTTTCTCCGTCAACGCTGGGATTGAACACCCGACCCCCAGGTTAGCGAGCCAACGTCTTATCCGCTGAGCCACCGTGGCTCCCGAGCCTTTCGTATCGATAAGTGAACATGAAACGCGGGGTCTATTCCACTAGTTACTGGACACATGACTAGGGGTGGGGGTAGTTACTCATTTGTTAGCCCGGGACGTTTCGAATTGACAAAACTGCAAGTCAGTCCTCCCACAGTTATGTCAGCCTTGTCAACTAAGTTAAGCGATGTCTACACGAAACAGCCAACCCATACAACCGTCGGACGGTCGTATCCGACCAACTAATGTGTCAAATGGTTGGATGAATAGCGTGTTGCATAGATAGGACCAGTTCTATTCAGACGGACTGATCCAATAGCCAATTGAATTGTAACATCCAATCAGAGCCACCAAACCAGAATTAAGCATATCTAGGGATTTTTCCGATGTTGTGAGATTCGCCGGTTGGTAAAAGGATAATATTCATTTCGACGTGATTTGACTAGAAAATTACATGGGCTCGGCTTGGCGGATCTGGGTGGAGACCGTAGGGACGCCCCCCCCCCCCCGTAAAACAAAAATCACTATAAAAAAGCTTAAAAAATTCATGAACTATGGCTCCAAATTTCAATCAGCTATGTTTCCAAATTTCATTCAGTATAGTAATGTTGTGGATGTTGAAACGAAATGTTATATTCCCGACCATCATAAGCGCCGCAGATTACCCTGGGGCCACCCTCCCCGACAGATGTATCGCTGTGGTATACACGCCCTGAACAAAATTTGATCAGTAACAGTTTACTAACCTCTAACGACGTTATCTTGTAGTTGGGCACATCTGCCTGAAAAATATAAATACATAAAGTTAATCAGATATTACTAAGACCGAAAGAATTAAAATTACTTGGGGTTTTTTTTTACGGTTACTCGACCGACTCTATTAATTTAGCCCAAATCGCAGATTTATTTTACATAAATCGGTTTCTGTGCGCTTTCGGCAGACACTGAAATTTCGATATTTTTACAGAACCTTAAACATACATTATGCAAGAGCTAAATCTGCCAATTGCAGATCTTTCTTTAAGCCTGAAATGTTATCTAAATTATTAATTAGACATTAATTAACTTATCCAGATCATAATCAACTCTCGGTGGTATCGCTAGGCTGCGATGTTTATTGGATTAGGTTCCGATTTGCTGTTCGACTTCCATTCATAATTAATCATGAAACGGATAATCGAGACTATGTTTTTTTATCCTACCGACTTTAGTAATGATGATCGAGGCTAGGCCGAAAATTCAATCGCTAATATCTCGGTTCATAGTGGATCAATCTGACTGAAATTTTCAGCAAATTCCCTTTACACTATTTAGTTTTAACTATTATAGTGAGAAATGAAAGCTCTTTATCTAATCTCAAATAATGTATCTTTAACTAAGGTCGAAATAAACCCTTTATGGTATCTAAATTCACATCATGTAGATTATAAAAAGGTTAATTTATTAGCTCACTTATTAATATTTGGGTGCAACGTGTACATCTGTTGTTTTTTTTAATGAGTCATTCATCAATTTGTATCAGTTACAACATAATTCGAAATTATAGGTCAACTTAGAGCGATATAAATTTTATATTGACATATTAGTTGCTACATATAGACCGAGTACTATAGTATAGTGATATTATGTTAAGCCCACCTCTCTCTCTCTCTCTCTCTCTCTCTCGCGCGCGCGCGCGCTCGCTCGCTCTCGAGTACTTTCCCCTTGTCAGCGTTGCAGGACGAAGGGCCTGACAAGAACAGGTCCCGTGTACACATTGGCGTGCACGTAAGCGATCCTTTAGCAGTTGGAATTCGATTAGGACTTAGCACCGCTGTCCGGGCAACATTTCCCTCATAACGTATGCCCGTCTTCATTATAGCCCTGTCGGAGCAGAACAGTGGGACGTTAAACCCTGTTTCATTTCATTTAATTATCCCCATTGGTTCACAAAAGTAGGACGTTAAACCACCTTCAATAACTTCTATTTTTTTAAAGATGTTGACAATAGGTTCATTTTCACAAACCTTGAAAGGTTTGAGTGGTGTGACACCGCTCATCCACTATTAAGAGGGAGAGAGAGAAATGGGGTTTAATTAACGTCCATTCGACACAAACTAGGTCATTTCGGGACTAAAACATGGTTCATTTTTATTTCAATAATTCGCTTCCGCGTAGGCGTCTTTAGCTGCGGGGCGGGGCGGTGAACCCCAGAGAAAACCCACGAGGTTGGACAGGCGACCCTACTCCTTGTCACGTACAACCTTGGAATCGAAACCACGCTAGTTGACTCAATGACAGACCTTATGATACAGCACGCACGTGCTAACCATTCGGCCATTCCCCCCTCTCCCTGATCCTCTATTAAATACCATCTATAGACGATATCTACTTCCTAACAACTGACTTGTCCAAATACAAATAATATCATGTCAAAACCCAAACGGTTATATAGGATAACAATCACAGCTTAAAACAACAACAACCACCAAATGGTGTTGGCGAGACGTTAAACCCCATACATTCCTAATGATAACATCAATACCATGTTAACAATGATCTATTCATATACACCATGCACACCCGTTGGTGAAATTTAAATAAATATGTCAATACATGTTGGTATCCATAGAAACATATTACGCACCTGCTCCTTAAAGGGATACAAGGTCAATAAATTATTTAAATTAAACACAAATAAATTCAGAGAAAATCTTATTAAGAAAGTAATTTAGAAATGAAATTGAGTGCAATATGGCAGAACCGTTCTAATCTATTTAAAATCGGAGTCTTCCGTGAGTTGATTATGGTCTTGTCATGTTAATAAATGCCTAATAAATAATTTATATAACCTTTCAGACCTAAAGAAATGCCTGCAATAAGCCTGTTTAAGTAAGTAATTTACAAATGAACTTGAGTGCAATAGACATTAAGATCAAGCCGTCTTTATCGCCATTTGCTTAAAGTAACCTGTGTCATTTGCAATTTTCGCTCAAATTTCTCAAGGCTTAATCCATGCTAATGTGAACTCCGATTGATTATTGAACATTTGATTAAGAAATCCAAATCCAAATACCAACACTAGATAATCTCCCGGCTTGAATTCAATAGGATTTAATCTAGGCCTATCAATGATTATTCGCAGACAACGAAATGGTTGCGGGCTTGTTACATAGCTAGCAGCATTGATCGATGGAATTTGAAAACAACATAGTTTTGTAAATATGAAATGGAATTGAACCATTTTTTTTTTTACTGATATTTAGATTTGAAATGAAATGAAATGGGAGAACGAGTTAAGATTAAAGAATCGTCGTAATTTGCAACGCATTCTATAGCGCTAAAATGACGCATTGAGATTTTAATATGTTCAATTACTAAATTGAACTTGGAATGTACTTGACTACCATCTTTCAAATAAATGAGTTAACTGAAGTCCAAAAATTCGGAATTAAACCCAAATATTTATTACTTTCGTTGCCGATAATAAAACAATATATTTAATCGCTTTGGTGCAATTCTATTTATAATTAAAGATGCATTATGAGAGAGAGAGAGAGAGAGAGCGAGAGAGAGAGAGATGGGATTTAATGTTCACTCGACACAAACTAAGTCATTTCGGGACTAACAGTGCATTAATTCGCTTGCGCATAGGCTTATTTAGCGGTCGGAAAAAATCACGAGGCTGGACAGACGACCCTACTGCTTGTCACATACAAGCGGGGAATCGAAACCACGTCACTTGATTCAATGACAGACTTTATGATGCAACGCTGATGCATTATGAAATATTTAGATAGAGAGCTGACAGTTCTCTCTATAATAATTTAAAAATAGATAATGAAAAAGGTATACATTTAAAATTTCTCTCAAATTACTTTATTTTGAGCGAAGTTATCAGTGTTTGAAGTTTTGATAAGAATAGTGTAGTCTCGATTTTTATTGCTACCAATGTTACGATACTAAACAAAGTCTCGATAATGCTCTAGAGAGTTGATTATTTATATAACATATCAGGCCAAACAAAAGACCTGCAATGGTCAGATTTAGCTCTATCATAAGTTATATTTAATAGGAAACTTGGCAAGGTTATAATCAATCCTATAAATCCTGATTATATCAAAGTTATAATCGATAATCCACTTGTTATTTCCTATAAACTGACCGTATTTTATTTTACAGTCTGATAAAGGAAAGTGACGTGGTGGATATTTTACAATCTGATAAAGGGAAATGGTGTAATGGATATTTTACAATCTGGTAAAGGAAAATGATATTGTCGATGTGTAATACAAAGGAAACCAAGGTCCCGTGTACACACTGCCACCCACCCAACCCCCACACCCGTCTAAGTAAAACTTTGTAGCATATATGTATCTACGATGTAACTTATTTAAAATATACCCAATATTGCCCCTTTAAGAATGCGTCACGATTGAGAACGTCTTTAACGACAAGGTGTTTGTGACACATTAGTTTATACGCCCTATTTATAACCCTGTTATCAAACCTTATCAGATATGATTATTCATATGTAAATATTACAAGACGTAAGCCCATTTTGAATGTACTGTGTATAAATTACGTCATTTCGTGAAGATTATCAGTCTTTATATTGTTTGAACATGGATCAGAATGGCAAATCTATATCTATTGTACGTGATTCGCCATGTTTCAATAGATTTTACATTGAGTTAGACCATGGGCATAAAATGAAGTGTCTATAGTGGTCTCCCTTGGGAAAAGTATTTAGTTTATTAAAATGTTACAACCAATGTCTAGACGAGACATTAATGTCCTGGTTAGGAAAATATATTAGACCCCCAGGAATTGTTAGCTATATCAGACTCCCAGAAATTGTTAGCTATATCAGATCCTCAGGAACTATTAGCTATATCAGACCTCCGGGAATTGTCAGCTATACCAGATCCCCAGGAATTGTTAGCTATATCAGATCTCAAGGAACTATTAGCTATATTACATCTCCAGGAATTGTTAGCTATTTTAAACCCCAAGAAAGTGTTAGCTATATTTGACCTCCAGGAATTGTTAGCTATATTTGACCTCCAGGAATTGTTAGCTATTTTTGACCCCCAGGAATTGTTAGCTATATTTGACCTCCGAGAATTCTTAGTTCCCTGAATTGTTGGCTATATTTGACCTCCAGGAATTGTCAGCTATATCAGACCCCAGGCTATGTAAGGTTTCTAGAATATGCTAGAACAACCCGCTTTGTGACCTGCCACCCGTCACTACGTAGAGCTAATTGGCACGATAGACTTTCACACCATTTAAAAGATAATGCCGCTTTTCCTGTATTTTCTAATAGAGTACTACCACCGGGAAATTAATGTCATTCACACACCGACCTGTTCATTTAGTTCAAATGTTATTGAGTCGCTAAAACTAACCTAGATATGTAATAGTTTATATTGTCATGAAAGGGAATGAAAGAGATTTGACTTTTCTGCATCCACTGTGAAGAGAGAGAGAGAGAGAGAGAGAGAGAGAGGGTGTTAACGTCCACTCGACACAAACTAGGTCATTTCGAGACTAACGTATGGTTCATATGTGTATTTTAATAGTTCGCTTGCGCGTAGGGGTCTCTCAGCAGTCGGAGGAAACTGGAGGAACGGGGAAAACCCAAGAGGTTGGACAGGCGATAATGGAGAGGAGCATATGAGGAAAAAACTTCTGCCCGGAAAGCAAACATCAAACCACACAAATTCTGACGTCGATATAAAGGTTAAATACTCACACAAAACTGTATGAATAGTATACATGGTTATCTTATTACTAATCTCTTTTTGTTAAAGTAACGATGCGCCATTTGCATTTTTTAGTAAAATATCAAATTTCTTACACAGCTTAATCCACGCTAATATATACCCAGGTTGATTTTTTAATTAAATTAAGAATACAGAATCAAAACACTAATTTAAAACAGGCCTATCAATAAATTTTCGCGGATAACAATATGGCGGCGGGCTTATTACATAATGAAGCAGCATAAATGGAGGAAATTTCAATTCGACATATTTGTGGAAGGAATTGAACCATTTTCGGGCTGATTTTTCTATTAGAGATTCGTCTTTATATCATATTTCGCAAGTGACTTTAAGTGAGTATTTTCAACGAGTTACCAATAAATGTAGATGTATTATATTTGAAATGAAAGGAAATGAGTTTTAACGTTCTACTTTTCTGCACCGACATGTAGAATTGTTCTCACGAGGCTGGACAGGTGAAACCACACTAGTTGACTCAATGACAGACCTTATGATTCAACGCGCATGTGCTAATCATTCATCCACCCCCACTCCACCCACCCACACACGCAATAGAGGTGCCATTATGATTAACGAAAGAAATGAAATGGGATTTGACGACAAACATTGCTGAAAAAACCTGGGTCAATGAAGATCCACATACACCAGTGTGCTAAGAAGGAAATTTTGCCCGGACAGCGGTACTACGGCCTATACTCTTATATCGAATTCCTATTGTCAAGAGCCCTTTTACGTGCACACCAATGAGTACACGGGACCTCGATTTTTTGTCCTATCCGAACAACTATTCGTGATCCATCCCTATCCCCCACCCTCGAGACTAGAGGAAGATGAAAGTCTGTTTTATACTCAACTGGGCAAAGCCGGTGGTGACGAAATGTGTTTTAGACTACAGTGTGTATGACAGTGTTAAAATATTATAGACTTTGGTCGGGGGCGACTGAGATCTTGGGATCCTTGCCTGCCGCAATCTCAGACAGCCAACCTATCATGAGAGCAGACTCGCGGTTTGCACTGCTGACAGACCTCAGATCCACATCGCAACAAACTGGACTATTTGGTCAACCAATGTCAAATAATATAAAAAGAACACCGACTAGCCTATATATTCTACCAAGACACACACACAATTGATGTAACGGTGAATGGCTTTGAATACAGGTCAATCACCTTATAGTGGTCTACAACAAGGTTCACATACAGTATCGTATTTATTAAATGACTCTATACGTGACTCGGATCCTGCATGCCACACCCCCTACTTTACAAAATGAAATGAAATGAAATGGGGTTTAACGCCCTACGCTTCAGCTCCGACTGGGCTACGGGCATACGCTATACAGTGTGCTATGAGGGAAACCTTGTCCGGACAGCCTACTTTTATGTCGAATTAAAATTGCTAAATGGGATATTTTACGTGACACACCTCGGGTTTTCGTCCCATCCGAACGAGTATACGTTGTCCCTTGGCAGGTCCTCTGTCCTGCACCACCCACAACGGAGGTGGGGGGGGGGGGGCACGCTGGAAAATCCTGTTGAAATTTCTCTGCCAACACAGGAATCGAACTTAGGATCCCTAGGTTAGCGAACCAACGTCTTACTCACTGAGCCACCGCGGCTTTACATTATCATCTTTTGACCAAACATTTCTAGTAATCAACCCCATTTTATTTTCAATCAGTTATAGTTATTTGAAACAAAATCGTGAATCACAATACCACAAAGAAAACTACACTAAATATGTCTGCACGAGATATTGTATTTTCAAAATCCAACTAGAGATATGTTTCTTCGAATATTAAGGTACTAGAAATATGATATCTTTTATTAGTATTAAGATACTAGAAATATGATATATTTTATTATTAGTGAGACACTATAAATATGATATCTTTTATTAGTATTAAGATACTAGAAATATGATCTTTTATTATTATTAAGATACTGGAAATATGTTATTTTTTATTATTTAGATACTAAAAATATGACATCTTTTACTATTATTAGGTAGGATACTAGAAATTACTAGAAATATTATATGTTTTATTTTTATTAAGATACAAGAAATATGTTAACTTTTATTATTATTAAGATACAAGAAATATGATATATTCTATTAGTATTAAGATACTAGAAATATGATATATTTTATTATTAGTAATACAATAGAAATATGATATCTTTTATTAGTATACTAGAAATATGTTATCTTTTATTATTATTAAGATACTAGAAATATGATATATTTTATTAGTATTAAGATACTAGAAATATGATATCTTTTATTAGTATTAAGATATTAGAAATATTATATCTTTTATTATTAGTAAGACACTAGAAATATGATGTCTTTTATTATTAAGATACTAGAATATGCCTGTTTTATTATTAAGATACTAGAAATATGCCTGTTTTATTATTACAATACTAGAAATATGCCTGTTTTATTATTAAGATACTAGAAATATACCTGTTTTATTATTAAAATGAAACTAGAAATGTGTATATGAATATGCATGAGATCTGTTATTATTAAAATCTCCTTTGACACTGGTGTTGTGATCAATAACGAATTCTTCAGCAAACTACTGTATTTGATATCCAATCAGTCTATATACATGTCGCTTAGAGGCCTGCTCGCTAATCAGGAGGAAGTCGCGGGTTCGCCCCCAGTCTATATAAATCTTCGTCATGCCATACAAATCATGCACGTAATTTATTGACTAATATAGTTATGTTTTAAAAACTTAATGACTGATTCACTGATGAGATATTTGACGAGCGGGCATTAGAATGTTTTCAGTTGGTTCAAAAAGAATGCAATTACAGCTTCAAATGAAATTTCGTTACACGCTGATTTGTGTCCCAAGTAAAATGTGTTAGGTAATACTTGCTTTAATACACTGTAAGTCCATATGTGTGATCTCGTTTACAAGATCATTGAGTATGACGTTAACTTGCTAACCTAGAGGTCCCGTGTTCGATCCATCTGTTGTAGGACAAAGTTATCCGACATGGTTCCGTCTTTGTCAGTGGTGTAGAACGGAGGGCTTGGCAAGAGACAACGTGTAGTAGTTCGGATGGGACGAAAAACCGTGGTCTCGTGTACACATTGACTTGCACGTAAAAGAACCCTTGACAGTTGAAATCCATATAAGAGTAGGTCACAGTGCCGATGTCTGGGCAAAATTGTCCTCATAGCACACTGCATGGTGTATGTCCGTCTTCATTATCCAGGTCGGTGCAGAAAAGTAGGACGTTAAACCCCATTTCTTGTCATTTAATGTTGACAAATAGCAATATATTGCTATAAAACAAGGATGAGTTGCTATTATAAATACACTGCGATATTACTAATGTGGCGCATGCGTTAAACCACCAACTACTTTTTGGTTTAGAGAGAGAGAGAGAGAAATGGGGTTTAACGTTCACTCGACACAACTAGGTCATTTCGGGACTATCATATGGTTTAATTTTATTTCAATAATTCGCTTGCGCATAGGGGTCTTTAGCCGTGGGAGGAAACCGGAGGACCCGGAGAAAACCCACGAGGTTGGACAGGCGCCCTACTCCTTGTCACGTACAACCGGGGATTCGAAACCACGCCAGTCGACTCAATGACAGACTTTATGATACAGCGCGCGCACGCTAACCATTCAGCCATCCAACCCCCCTTTTTTGGTTTAGATTACAAAACCATGTTTATTGACCCAACGGTCGTGTACAGAAGAGACACAAAACAAAACAAACAAAAACTCTCTTGGAAAAGAGAGAGAGAGAGAGAGAGAGAGAGAGAGAGAGAGATGGGGTTTAACGTCGACTCGACACAAACTATGTCATTTCGGGACTCTATTCTTCCCCGTTGACGACACCACATCTACTCTTATATATAGGTTAACTTGTTTACTACGAATGATTTCGACAACAACAAAATTTGCATACTCACGCCATTGATTGTAATGATAGTAGCCAGCAACAAAATCCCAGAAACCATTTTGAATAATATATAAGTTTTCCTGGTCAGTTTTTGAATTACATATAAAACATAATGCTCGTCTAAAAAAACTAATTGTTAAACGAGACAAGCGACAGCATGTAGTTTAACAGTAATAAAGCTCTAGATAGGGTTTCACGACACGTGACATTCACTGGTTAGCTATCACCTTTACAAAAGCTTCAAGTACATTTAAGCCGTGGTTACACTGTTTTTTGTCTGTCATTAAATCGTTACGATTTGAAAGTAGCCTTAAAATCGATCTTTTTAAACGGTTCTGTTAAGAGTCGCTGGTGTTTAAAATATTTATGCATTGTCCGCAAATTGGACAACTTAAAAAACACATCGATTTACCAACATAAGTTCGACCGTGTTAGCGGGGAATAGTTCAAGTATTTGTGTATTATAATGAATGGAGAACTTCAGTCATTGTGGTAGGCTATATTATATGCCGTGCGCTTCACTGAGCGTATATATATATAGGCCTATAGTGGAGATATGCGGTTTTTACCTATGTATACCTTACAAACACGTAAAGCCTCAAGGGCAAACTGCCTAACTTAGTGTATCTTCCGGTAGTAACGGTACACATTCATACGAATTTCATTTACATTAGTAAACAGCGTTAAACTGCAATTTTGTAAATGCTAGGTGCAATACGAAAGCGTAGCGAGGCAAGCACATTATATACCCTTTCTAGTGATTTGTCGATTGATCAAAACATCTTATATTTCCGAAAAGAAAAAAAAAACAACTGGGCAGACCGAGCTAAAGATATTTCCGTACGAGAAAATATTTCTTTCTGGAAAGCCGTTTGATATTTCTAGCGTTTCTTCCTAGTCTTTTTCGATTGTCAACTGTCAAGGATTCTCTAAAGATACCTTAGTTAGTTTTATAAAGAGTTGGCCATTCTTGCTATAATAATTCAAAAATAGATGATGAACAAAGAAAATGTTGAAAATTTCAGTCAAATTACTGTGTTCTGAACGGAATTGTCACTGTTGGAAGTTTGGACTAGAAATAGGCATCAATTGGCGATCGTTTGATTGACAGACGATAACGCCACCCACATATTCTCGATTATATTATCAAGTAACATGCTCAATGGTTATGGTAGCCTCGCTTAGCAGGCCTTTCATTACCAGTTTCCGGTACTGAAATCAGCGACTAACGGTAAACGTTAGCTTGGTCCGCCATTTATTGATTTAATTTTAAATGGACAACTGTTTAAATCCAAACTGTATCCAAACCATCCGTGGGTCTATGGAGTTAGTTAATTAATAATTTATATAACATCTATATAGGCAGATTCAGCTCATGTATAATGTATGTTTAAGGTCTAGGGTTAGAGTTAGCGCTAGCCCTGTTTGCATTTCGTTAACGTAACGAAATCTGCAGGTGGCCTTAATATTTAGATCTAACCCTTTCCTTCCCACTACTAAAGACCCCTACGCGCAATAGATCATTAAAGTAAACAAATAATAGTGTCAAGGGGTCTCGTGGTGAAATGAAATATACCCTACGACATTGTGACTATTTCTTCACCAATATATTTATCTATAAGAGGGCTTTAAATTTCATGTTATCTTGATCTTTACAAGCGGGTGTGAATATAACATTATGTTATCTCTGCTGTAGGGGCGGCACAGAGAGAGAGAGAAAGAGAGAGAGAGATTGTTTAATAAATGCCTGACAGAGATCTAACATCCTTGAGTTACTTTCACTCAATAAAAAATTTGCTTAACTTTCAAAGGAGCAAGATACTGTTCAATAGCTTTAAGATAAAATGTATGACCAATGCGAGAGCGACGCAAATAACTCCATTCGTTCTGTTGGTTCTATAGGAGGTTCACCAGTAAAAGAGGCTTAATATGATGGCCATAGATCACTAATGTTCCCAAATTTTCGTTGGGTAGAACGCTTTCTACCACAGATGGAGCAACGTGTGGCAACCCCTTGCTCAAAAGCACGTATGAGGTTGACCATGGAAAACTTGAGAAACACAAACTGGAAGTAAAGAAAAGTAAACATGCAATTTTCCACCACACATTTCAACCTGACCAACCTCTCAACTCTTGTATCATTCCGCCTCAAAATCAAGAATATTTACCAAAACCTGGCAGAAAATGTATTTTCAAACCCTTTTCTTCCGATTCTACATCAAAAAGTGAACAAAAATCACCATGCAAAAGGGTGGGGGGGAGAGAAAGACTAAAAATAACTTTCGCACTTCACTCGTGACGGCCTATGAATATTTGGTGAGCTGTGTCCCGATAACGATAGTTCAGGCGAAATAGAGTTGTTTCCCTTCATACGGAATTCATGGGGGATACTCAGTTGAAATTTCCGGTTCAATTGAATTCTCAAAATTCATTAGGGGTGCTCGATTATCTGTCCAGAGTGGTGTGAATGGAATCGTAACGTAATTAAACACAACGATATGTTTCAAGTTGATTGAGATATTTTTTATGCAGTCGGCGCATGCGTTGTAGCCCTTAACCACCCTTTTACTTGATTCTCACTATTTTTGAGAATTCCGGAACGTTGAATCGAGTATTTCATGACTATATTATTATGCTTTGTAGTTTAGGAAATGATACTATATCGACCAATCACCAATCGTTTGATTACATCACGATTCTGCTCACATAACGCCTGTATGAGACCCAGGGGATAGGCCTACTCGATTGAACGTTCGGGAATTAAATTCTCTCAATTCCAAAAATAGTGTCAATCGAGAGAAAAGGAGAACTTCGGAGTACAACGCATATGACAGCTGAAACATATTTGTTACTTAATATACGTCACGATTCTAGACACACCACCTCAGCTGTTCGGGCTCGCAAAACTATGACAGGGCTGAATTCCGTATCACTTGATTGCAATTATGTCAATTCGGGACGTTCCGGCTGACAATCGACAATGTTAAGGGTTTGGTTATGGTAATATGTTTTAGTATGATACTTCAAGTTTGCGTATCCCAGAGTTACATTGTTCAAACCCATACTAAATCGGTAGTAAAGACATGGCCATTGGAACCGGGGAAAGAGACCAGAATTAACATTGAAGTAAATGGGGACATTAATGGTGGTCTGCCTCCTATATAGTGATAAGCCTGGCAGTGAATGATAAGCCTAAATTTGAAGATATCATCTCTAAATTAACAGAAATGTGATATTTAACTTTTAGATTATAAAAAAGTGAAATGGTAACATTTAAAATATATTTTCAAACTTGTGAGGGGAATCTTTGATTTTTGTCCAATTTTTGTGATTTTCAGTGTTTATCAAATTTTCAATAATAAGGTGAACCAAGCCGGAAAATCTGCATGAACTTTCTCGGCCAATGCAGGGGTCGAACACCCGACCTCCAGGCTAGCGAGCAAGCGTCTTACCCACTTAGCCACCGTGACTCCCATATGTAACTAACCAAACCCCTTAAAGATATGGGAATAATAATAGAGTATTTATCCAATATTAAATGTACAGTAGATCTATTGTCCAGGTTTTAAACAGTATTCCACAAGTTAAACAAGAAAAAGAAGACAGGAAATACACGTGGTTTAATGAATCAGTGATTGACAATAGTAAGTGCACTACACACACAAAAAAATCCGGTAAGGCAAATCTGGGGACAAGACAAACTACACAGACATTGCAAGAAATAAACAGCAAATCTTTCACAGTGCTACGCAGTCCTGGGCCTGTAGTAACACATGTAGGAACTTTACGGTATCAAGAACTTTCATTCAGGATTTACAAGAACAAGCCACACCAATTTGATTACAAAACAATTGTAGGCCTGTAACTCCCTTAATTTCAAATTAATCTGGGGCCTGTTTCACGAAATTTTAACTAAGATAAAATCCAGATTTTAGTAATTTGATTGGATAATATTAGATTGATTTTAGTGCTTAGCCAATCAAAATTGAAGTATCTACTAAAATATGGATTTTATCTTTAGTTAAGATTTCGAGAAACAGGGCCCTGGTCCATAACGGTACTACCCATAGCTTAAAGATACATTGTGTAAGACTTAGCACCCCCCCCCCCCCCCCTAGTTACGGGCCTGTAAAGGGTTGGCCATTCTTGCTATAATAGTTCAAAAGTAGATAATGCTAAATAGAATAATGAACATTTCATTCACTGTTTGTAGTTTTGACAAGATGTGTGCATTGAATTATCGTAACCACGGTAATGGTAGGCCTATATTTGGGGCTCACCCTCGCTTCTCCATTTTTACATTTAAATATTTAAATTACTACATTTAAATATTTAAATTACTACATTTAAATATTTAAATTACTATATTTAAATATTTAAATTACTATATTTAAATATTTAAATTACCACATTTAACTATTTAAATTACTACATAATAACTTTATTCAAATATTTAAATTACTACATAAAAACTTTATTTAAATATTTAAATTACTACATAATAACTTTATTTAAATTTTTATTTATAACTGTAATAAATTTGAATGTTCAGTGTTCGTTGTATTAAAAACGAAAGTGCGCTTTTTTCAAAGTTTTTTGAATCTACAGACTGTATGAAATTGGGCACGGATTTTAAAAATAATGTTATATTTTTGTCCATATCCAAAAACAGAATTCACAACTGTGGCACTTCGGTTGTTTGGTACTCTACAAATTGTTGCAGATATTATGCGCCAAACTTTTGTATTTATTAATGTGTTTTGGTGGCATTTCACATAGGGTTCGAAAATGGTCTGCATTAAGTAAAAGAGTGGTTTCTGTAATTTCGTTGTCGACAAAAATCGCTAACCAATTTTTGTGGTCCCAGGTAAAGTATTTATTATACAGGTCCACATACCTGTATATTCCAGTTCAATTACTAAATGCCATTGAAACAAAGTATTTATTGTTCAGTTTGTCTTAAACAATGTGCGAGTGTTCTTGAATCATAGTAGTCATATTTATGACATTAAACGAAAATATGTGTGGACTGGAAGTGGGTCATTTCTATAGTAACCATTCCTATAGTAACCATTCCTACAAGAAACTGTAGTGATCCATTTTCCAAGCTACAGAATACTACAGAATTCCTTCCTATAAATAAATGTAGAATTTCCTACAAACTATAGTATATCCTGTGGGATATGCGCTACAGACACTGTATAATTT